CTAAGAAATAATTTCCTTATGCTTTTCTCCTAGTTTACATACCTCTTCACTTCTGATACAAAGTTCCTTGTAGGAATCAACTAATTCTTCATAAGAGACCTCCTCATTACAAGAATCTTCATTAGAATCATATATACCAGTGAGTGTTGTCACATGCTTAGCGGTTTCTAAAGGAAAATCGTGACACAAGGCGTAGTAGAAAACCAAATTTTCCCTCTAGTTGATCCTTATGAATGAGCATGATCAATGGTAGAAATGGTTACCTCTTGTGGCGATTAAAACCTTTGATACAAAATAAAAGGAATGATCATGATCATTGATGAAGAATAACACCTCTACTCAGTCCACACAAATAGACAACCTTCAATCTCAGTGTTAGATGCTACGAATAAAGGCTTTGAGTGTGTGTGTGTGTGTGTGTGTGTGTGTGTGTGAGAGAGAGAGAGAGAGAGAGAGAGAGAGAGAGAGAGAGAGAGAGAGAGAGAGAGAGAGAGAATATGGGCATGGTTTCACAAACCTAATTTCATCAACTGAGAAAGCTTATGCACAAGGGTTGTATTTATAGAACCACTTGTGTTGGCTGCAAGCTAAAAAACCCAACTTAAGTGCACAATATAATAGTAAATAAAAAAATTATTATTATAATAACTACTATTAATAATAAACACATTTTATTATTATTATTATATTATAATAATAATAATAATAATAATAATATTAAGTATTACTAAACTATATGATGTTCCAAATTTCACTTAAGTACACCGTACCTTACGATGTTTCATAATTCTCTCAAGTACATCGTACCTTACAATGTTCCTTATTTATTCTATCTCTCAATAATATGTCCTTATGTGTGTGACCCTGTAGGTTCTCGTGACAGTGATGATTATATTAAATCATACATTTAATATAATAAACCGTGAGCAATATCTAGCAACGCATCATTGCTACCAAGTCATGAAAATGTCATGTGATCTGACAAAAAAAATTCCGTGATAATGTTTGTGTGTACATTTACTCTTTTTCCCTTAGGTCTATATTGAACACAAGGAATATACCATGTCATCCTTGTCCAGTTCAATATTGGGCCCTTAGACATTTATCCTGTTATGCAAGATGGGCAAATTACATCTAGGTTCACTCATGTTCTTCATCATGCTTTACGAAGTACCTATCAATTATCTTCATGGTCATCCAATTATGGATATTGTTTGATCAACAATAAAGTACTGAACTCTACATCTAGGATCCATAGTGATTTCAGGTCGAAGAGTGGTATACACCACTATCACCATGAGAATAACTTATGACACTTTGCACAATATTCAATGTAGTATTATCATAGAGGGTCAATCCAGTATAAATATTACTCTTAATATTCATACTTATGTCAAGATTTTATAACTACTTATCCATGATCCATGAGATGTGATCATCGGTCTATCTATAAAATAGTCTTAATTCTTTATTATTATCCCACTTCATAGTAAAGCTTGACAATGGATACTTTAATAATAGTGTATGTATGTTTAATGGGATCTCATGATTAAGTCACACTTAACCTTTCATTAAACATACTAACTATTCCAGGGACTTTATTATTTAGAAAAAACAAACATAATAAAGAAATTCCTTTTATTATTAATAAATAATTCGATACAAGTACCAAAAGTATTAGCCTCTAGGGATTACACCAACAATCTCCCACTAGCACTAAAGTCAATTAGGCATACCCCTTATACCCATAGATATAGTATATACATCATGCTTATGCTGCCCAAGAGGCTTTGTTAGTGGGTCAACAACATTGTCAAGTGTAGGTACTTTGCATACTTCACATATCGCTGCTCTATTATCTCTCGAATGAGGCGATAACGCCTAAGTATGTGTTTGGATCGTTGGTGAGATCTAGGCAACTTAGCTTGTGTGATAGCACCATTTTTATCACAATAGAGATAAATAGGATTCACAATGCTAGGGACTATTCCAAGTTCACTAATGAACTTCTTGATCCAAACAACTTCCTTTGCAGCATTTGAGGCAGTAATGTACTCAGCCTCGGTTGTAAAATTAACAATTGTATCTTGCTTTGAACTTTTCCAGCTCACATCACCACCATTTAAACATAACACATAACCATATTGCAATCTAAAGTCATCCTTGTTTGTCTGGAATCTAGCATCGGTGTATCCAATTACAGCAAGCTCTTCCTGACCTCTATATATCAAGAATTAGTCCTTAATCCTTCTCAAGTATTTAAGGATATTCTTGACAGCCACCCAATTAGCATCACCGTGATCAGATTGGTACCTACTCATTACACTTAAAGCCTACAAGACATCCGGTCGAGTACATAACATGGCATACATGATAGATCCTATTGCAAATGCATATGGAATCTTATTTACGTGATCTCTTTCTTCCTTAGTTGAAGGGGATTGTGTTTTTGATAGATACAAGCCATGTTGCATAGTGAGGCAACCAGCAAAATACACAGAGCTGCCAACGAACTTTATTTATCCCGAAGGAAGGGGAAATATCTAGAAATCCCCAAGAGGATGGATAAGATGGTCTTGCAACCAAAATAGAGGGTACAAAAGTCAATTATACGAGGGGAAGGTATTAGCACCCTCATATCCATTATACTCAACAGGATCCATTTCGATTATTTGATTTTAAGGGTGTGTCTATCTAAAACTATACTTGCTAAAGGAAATGAGATGGTTTTTATTAGTGTGTTTGTGAGGGTCTCACAACCCTTTTCCTATGTATCCCGTGAAGGAATCAGAACACCATAGTTCTTCTAGAAAATGTTGGTTTGTTGGTGTTTTTTAGTGGGCGATGTTAGCGCATGCATTCTAGCAATAGGCATGATATGTATCGCGGTAGAACGGAGATAACGTGCCCTTTTTATTTTTGATTTGTTGAGTCTTTTTATTAAGTGTGGAATGAGTTTGAATAATGATTAAGTGTTTTTGGTTTTTTTTTATCAAGGAAAGAAATTTAGTTTTAATTAGAAGATGTAGTGCAAAAGAAACGTCTAAGGGAAAAGTCTACCCTAATGTTGTCATGCAAATTGGACCTAAAGTTGAGTGTTTGAAAGGGAAATTTCTAACCTAATTATTAATCATGCATAGGTTGACCTTAAAATCTAATTCAACACGAAACAATCAATATGAATTTAATCGATTCGGAGAATCACTTAAGGGAACATGTTATCAAGATTAACCAAGCAATCAAACAAAAATAAAGAAATTAAGTTCTTAATATTTTTTATGATTTTTATCAAGTAAATAAAATAAAGTAAAGGAATTAAAACTCTAATTTTTTTTTGTTTTTAAAGAAGAAATTAAACCAAATTAAAACAATGATATGAATAAAATTAAGAGAGAAGACAAGGGAGATGGGAAAGAAAACCAAAAATGGTCCCTATGAGTATTAAACCTGGTACCATTGGTTTGAAAATCTTAAGCTTTACCAATACAACCAATACGCTTGACTTGTTAATAGGCTAAACAGAAAACTAAAAGAAACTAAACAAATTGATAGATGGGCTTTAACGAAAATGGGTTGGGTTAAGGGAGGCCTAAATAGAATTGGGAACTAGAAGAAAACCTAGACAAGGAAAGGGTGGCCGCTGGTATCTCCGGGGACTTGTTCCATCACTTTTGAATTTTAGAGCACTTAATTTTGATTATTTCTAATAAATTTCAATTAAAGCAGAATTAAAACAATTAAAATCCTAAATATCTCTCTCACACGTTCTCTCACTCGGTTATATCTCATCCTCTCTTTCTCTTATCTATTTATTTTCTCAAATCACTCAACTGCTCTCATTCCTCTATTCTACTTCATTCAAAAACCAAACAAAAAAAACAAATCCTTTTCCTCTATTATGCGTTCTCAACTGAAAAATGACCTCAATCTCTCTACTTCTTCGACCAGGGATCAAGATCAAGGCAAACGAAATTGTAAACATAAGCTCTCTTTCTCCCTCACAGTTCACATCAACAACTCAGTATCCCTCTCGGTTATCTCTCATGATTGTTCTAAATCAAGCCACAATAATAACACCATCTCTCATAGTTTCCTTGTTTAGATAACAACAAAATTTTGTCTCGAAAGAAAACACTTGACTCTCACTCGTGAGAAAGATAAAAGAAGCAATGACAACAAGTATCAATGGAAACACAATCATGGCAGCGAACAATAACAACATGTTTATTAGAAAAGAAGGAGACTCACATAGTTCTGGTGATTCGCGATTTCGGAAAAAGCTTTTACTCAAGTGAACTTGAATTCCTTTCCCTTTTTCTGTCAAATTCGTGAATTGTTGTTATTGTTGAAATTTTGCACGCTGTTATTTCTTCTGATTTGTGCATAATTTATGTTGGATTTTGGTCTTTGCCATCGTGCATATATGTTGATGCAAAGCTCAATGGTGTTAGACTACTACTGTGAAAATTATTGCATTGACATTGTTATTGGGTTGCTGGTTGAGGAAGGATTTAGGTTTTTTGAGGATGGAATTGATAAAAATAGCAGTGAGGTATGAGGGAATGAAAGAGTTTTTTTTTTGAGATTTTTTCTATCAAATTGTTTGTTTTGGAGAGGATTTGGGCAGAATTTTATGAATGGTTGTTTTTGAATGCGTTTCATGCTTGTAGTTGGTGAAGATTGTAGAGGTTAAAGGAATGATTGAAGAAGGTTTTTTGTAAGGGGTTTCTTGGTTATTATGCATATGAGTGAACTGATGTCGGGTGAGGTGTTGAATGATTTTTAAGTTTTGCAGTAGGTTGAGGATATTTATGATGGTGGTTGTCTAAGGGAGTCTTGGTGGTTTTTTGTGTGTAGTTGGGTGTAAATTATAGGAACAAAGGATGGTTTTATAGTGTTAAAGAAGGGGTTTTAGGGGGAAAATTTGGTGAGGTTTGAACACTTTTGATAGCCTGATTTGTAGCTTTTGTATGCAGATTATGTTTTGCTGAATTTGTGTAATGTTTTGGACATGTTTAAGGCAGGTTGATGTAGGGCTAGTCTTGGATTATTGTGGGAAGCATATGACTGTTTGGAAAGCAGGGTATTTGGACTGGTTTTGGCTGTATTTGGTAGCAATGGCAGGTTTTGTGCACAGTAGCAGAATGGACAACAATTGGCAAGGAACCAAGTTGAAATTTCATGGAGATTTATGGCATATCATTGTATTACTTTTATGGTTTAGAAATTTTGTAATGTTATTCTCAATATCTCATGTAGAACATAAAGAATGATTGGACATATTTGAATTGAATTGAATCATAGATGTTTCGTTTGAAAAACTTTGGATAAACCTTGTAAGTTGAACACGTTTCTATCATCTTTTCCTTTTGTCCCAAGTTTCAACATGATGCCTTAAATCTTTTTTGTAATATGAATGAACCATGAATTGTAATATGAATTTAATTGCTTGATACTTAAATAAAGTCAATGGATGAACTCTTTTGTAACAAGCTTGAATGGAATGATGAGACTTTCAAAACTCAATAATTCCATGTTTCCTTTATTTTCCAATTAGGTTTTCAAGATTTGAATTCAACATTTGTATATCATCTCACGATTTCATAAGAACTTGTACTCAAAACAAACTCGTATGCCACACCTGACTCAAATGAACATTAATTGCCAAACTTGAATTTAACTTGTCGTGTGAAGTTAAAAAGAATAATTTATACCATAAACAATTGTTCCCAAAGCCTTGTATCTTGAACCAAGGTTAATTGGAGAAATTATCCATGAATTCATGTCTCTTATCTTGACCAGTGCTTTATAACTCAAGCAACTAGAAGCAGGTTCTTATCACAAGAAAACCTTAGCCATGATGCATATTAAGTGATGATCTTGGTTGAATCCCTAATTGAAATTGATGAACACGATCATAAGAAAGTGTTTCATGACCCATGAATCATAGAAAAATATTATTTTCTCCAATCCAGCCCTTGATAAGAATTCCAGTTGAATAACTTATAGTGCAAGTAGTTGATGGAAGATCTCAAGTGAACTCAAACCTGATTTATGAAGAAATGGTCCCCTGATGGTAGAGGTATAAAATCTTAAAATAATCTCAGCCCAAACATCTTTGGCGAAACCCTCAAAACCAGAGTTTCAAAATCCCATTCTCAGAAGAAATAAAGAGTCAACCTTTATTTGATAATGAAGCCCAAACCAAAGTGAAACCCTAATTCGTACCAAACACTACTTCTTGATCTCATGCCTTATCGAATGAAGGGATGATATGTGAATGACCTAATGAAAATGATGCAAATGAAATGCAAAGCCTAAGCCAGATAAAAGTGAAAAGGTAGGACAAATTTGGGGTATGACACATAGGTATGAATCCTTTCTAGGAATCATGCATATTAAAGCATCTCAACACTTTGTCTATGTATGTACTCTGACTTAGGCCAAGTAGTTTTTGTAATCTATCTCTATAGATCCTAATTCCTAATATATAGATTGTTTCACTCATGTTCTTCATAGAAAAGCATTTCCCTAGCCAAGTTTTCACTTGTTGCAAGGTAGGGACATCATTTACAATGAGTAATATGTCATCTACATATAATACCAAGAAGGTGATCATGCTCCCATTAACCTTCTTGTATACACAAGGCACATCTTCATTCTTGATGAATCCATATTGTTTTAGTGTTTCATCAAAATGAAGATTCCAACTTCTGGAAGCTTGCTTCAATCCATAGATTGATCGATGTAACTTGCATATCTTTTGGGCTTCTTCTGGTATGTCAAATCCTTCAATTTGTGTCATGTACACATCCTCAAGAATATTCCCATTAAGGAAAGCAGTCTTGACATCCATATGCCATATTTCATAATCATGATATGCAACGATAACAAGTAAAATCTGAACAAATTTAAGCATTGCAACAGGTGAAAAGGTTTCATCATAGTCTATCCCATGAACCTGTTTATAGACTTTTTCAACCAGTCTTTCCTTATAGGTATGTACCTTACCATCCATGTCAATCTTCTTTTTGAAGACCCTCCTGCATCCTATATGATTAACTCCTACGTGAGGCTCTACCAAGGTCCAAACCTGGTTTGTGTACATGGAATCCATTCCAGATTTCATTGCTTTTAGCAACTTCTCAGACTAAAGACTAGTAATGGCCTCTTGATAGGTCGCAGACTCATACTAATCCATGAGAAATATATCACCTTAATTAGTTATGAGATGTCTATATCTCTGAGATTGGTGATGTATCATGCTTGACCTATGTTGGTCTTGTTCTACTTGAGCATGTTTCTCTTCCATAACTACTTTTATTTCCTGCTCTAATTCTTCCATAGGTTTATCAATGCTCTGTGATTCTTGAATTTCTTCAAGCTCTACTTTCCTCCCACTAATTCCTTTGGAAATAGTTTTTTTCCATGAAAACTCCAGTTTGAGGGATAAACACTTTTCCCTCATAAGTATTATAGAAGTAATACCCCATTGTTTCTTTATGATACCCCACAAATAAGCATTTGTCAAATTTGGGCTCAAGCTTAGTTGAGATTTGTCATTTCACATAAACTTCGCAACCCTGAATCTTCATGTAAGACATATGTGATTTCTTACCACTCCGTATCTCATATGGTGTCTTCTCAAACTTTTTGGATGGAACACAATTAAGTGTGTAAGCTATTGTCAACAGAGAATGTCTCCAAATGAAGTTTGGAAGGTCGGCATGACTTATCATGGATCAAACCATGTCTAACAAGGTTTAATTTCTTCTATCATATACACTATTCCGTTGTAGTATTCCATGAGGAGTAAGTTGGGATACAATTGAAGGATAGAAAAACACAAGAAAATGGGTTTGAATTGGGGTTTTCAAAAATAAAAACAGTATGACACGTCTGGTTATCCTGGTTCGTTTGAACTCAAACTACTCCAGTCCATCCACCAAGGTGATTTTGCCTCTCTCAATCGAGGTCTTAATCCAATAATCAAAACTTTTATTACAACACACTAAGACTACCGTAAATGTATTCTTGAGACTAAACCATCTTGGTTTCTCAAGGAATTACAAAAATGTGAATCAAAATGTGTAAGGGAATGTCTCTAGAAATATCAGAATTGTGATGTTTACACAATGTTAAGGCACATTGAACAGATAAAAGATATTATGAATATTGTTTTGTATGTGCAAGTGTATTTGATCACCCTTCAAGTGCTCCTTTATATAGGCGAAGCTCTACATCCATTTAAGACATGAGAAGATTTTTTTGGAAGTTAGACAAAATGTTGTTAATGCATTTTCCAAAAATACAAATCTTGTCTGGTACCAGTCGTTACTCTTTTATTTGTAATGAATGAATAGTAACGCATCAGAACTTTGCTTCTTTGAAATTTGATCAGAATAAGAATATTAATGTTGATACTTTAGATAATCAGAGTACTGCTTCATAGGATTTTAGCTTTCATCTTTGGTGCTTCGGAAGTTATAACATCAGAACTTCTTCTATTGAGCGTGATACTTTAATTGTTTGTACACAAATTCTTATCAGATCTTCTTAGCGCAAATTGTTCGCCAACTTCTTATGCTTCTTTTTTCAGAACTTCTCTGCATATTTAAATAATTTATTAGAGAGAATAATTGTTCTTTATATATAACATGTATTTGTTATCACCAAAACTATTACTAAGATGTTGAACCAAACTATGTTCTAACAATCTCCCTTTTTTATGATGACAAAAACTTGTATATTTTGATTAATAAGTAAGAACATACAACATTAGGGTCTTCCCCAGAGTTGATTACTCAGAAAAAAATTGGATACTTCCCTGAAGATGTTTGATCAGATCTTTTGATGGAAGTTCTGACAAGTCCATGTGGTAGAAGTTTCTTTCAATAAACACTTTTCTTGTTTTCTTTTCAAAAAGTGAGACAGGTTATGTTATAAAAAATGTTTGAGACTTAGTCTCAGAACTATTATATTCAAAATATCTTACGTTCTCCCATTTTTTGTCCTTAATCAAAAAGCAATAAAAACACATAAAGAGAACAAAAATATGATGTATTCAAGAACATAAATTAATACAAATAGAAGCAGACAAACAAAAGTTTAATTATAAAGCGTAACAGAAACAAGCAAAATATAGAAACTTAGGTTGTGAAGGAGGTGGAAGTCGGGTGAACAACGCTTCCAAGAGACTTTTGATCTGATTGTTTGATTCTTCTTGCTTGCCTAGCATCCCCTTAATCTCTTTATTGGTTTCATCCTATTTATCAAGCCTTTCCCTAACAACTTCATTCTCTTTCTTGAACTCATCTAGAGTTTTCAACACTAGAGAAGATGTAGATGTTTCAACAGTAGAAGCCATATTCTCAGAAGTTACTGCAGCAGAGTCTTTCTCAGGAGATTCTTCAACTTACTTGCATTTGTCTACAAAAATGACCAGCAGTTGTGGTTGAGGTTAAGGTGATGGTTCCTAAAATTGTGATTCCTGTAGAGCTTCCCAAGGAGTGTTGTCTAGAATACGAAGGGGTTTCCTTACCCAGAAACATAAAACTTGATCCTTGAAGATATTCAGGTGATCGCAAATGTTTTATTGAACAATTTCATAACTAAGTTCCTTCATCTTCAGAGATTCAGAGTTAAACCATTTTCTCAACTAAGTCCAAAGAGAATCAGAAGCAGTTGGATTGAGATTGTCCATGCAAGCTTGCTTCAAAGAGTTAACTTGTTCCTGTATTTCTGTCTCAAAAACCAACATAGATTTACCAACATCATATTTGGATGGTTTTGGTGTTGGTTTTGGAATGGCTATTTTCTTAGAAGATGTGACAAGTTTGTCCCATGCTTCTAGATCAATTATGGTTCTAAGAGGATCTTCTGAGGAGTCTATGGGAGTTGGAGATTCAAAAATGATGATAGGAGTGTTAGATGGTGTTTAATCATATGAGAGGGAATATCTAGAAGGGAAAGTCTTGTGAAGGTTTGATGAAGATATTTGGTGGTTGAGAGGTGTTGAGAGGGCATGAGATGTTAGGAATAACGGGTGTAGTTTCGAGCATTTATTCAGAGGCAGTATTTAGATTTTTTGTTTCAGAAGCTTCAAAGAATGGGTCAAATTGATCAGTATCAGATAGAACATGTGCAAGTTTTGGCTGAGTTTGAGCAAATTGGGTAGAAGAGGGATTAATCAGAGGATGATTAATGGGTATGGTGGTTTTAATTTCTAGTTTAAAGTCATCCAGAGTTTATGGTAAGGTATTTTCAGCAGGTT